GCCAACTTCCGACCCCAGTCCCAGCCCCACCTCTCGCCATGTGGCTCTCTGGCGCCGGCGCACATGTTGACACGTGTCGCTGCTGTTGCTAGGGGTAAAGATTCTGCTTACTATGCTGGGATAAAGAGGTGCGCTGAGGATCCGTACGATTCGGTGTTGAACCCAAGCGGGGTGATTCAGCTCAAACTAGCAGAGTCCAAGGTAATAGGGTGGTAGTAGCAGCTGTTTTTTTTTTTGTGCAAAGATTTGATTTGTATCGAGACTTTTAGGGGTTTTGTTTTTTTTTTTTTTTTTGGTTTTAGAGCAGTTGTCGCTGGATCTGATTAGGGATTGGCTGCGAAGGAATTTGGAGGAGTCGTTGATGGATGAGAGGAAAAGGGGTTTGAGTATTGCAAAACTGACCATGTATCAGCCTTTTGATGGGATGATGGATTTGAAGATTGTAAGTATATAAATTAGCTATTGATGAATAGATTAGTTGTTTTGTTTTTTATTTATAGATTAGTTTTTTTCTTTTGTCTGTTTTGATGCGGTGATAAGAATTTTTGGATGGCCTAAGACATTAGTTGTCATGTGTCCAAATTGGATTAGTTCCATATGGCGGCAAGATTTCTATGCAATTTTGCTAGCAAATATCATTTTTTTAAGTTCTTATGAAATATATGTGAATTTGTTAGGGTGTGGTTGGATTAGGGTAATTGAAGTTCTATATTGTTCAAAGTATGTCTAAATGTCAACATAATTGTTTGGTTGGATGATGTACTATATCAAAAGATTATTGTGCAAAAGCAAAGTAGATGAAACATAGGGTAGCTGCTGCGGCGTAAAAAGTGTTTTAACAACAGGAGGTTTAACTTGCATGTTGTAATTATCATTTGTTGTTAGCTATTAGCAATGCATGTCAATAATTCTTATTTGTTAGTATTTAATCTTTTTATTTATCCCAAAATGTTTGGAGAAAGTACAGATATGAAGCCGTCTCTTGCGAGCAACAGTCTGAAATGTTAGTATTTCACTAATTTAATCTTTTCATTTTATCCTATATTATATATCTAACTAGCTTGCTACTTTATATCATGCAGTTTTAATTGTGAAATTTTCACTCCCTTATATATGAAGGCTATAATCTGTGGTGTTGATACACTTCAAGTAACTACTCCTAACGATGAATATGATGTCATACATGCCAGGCTTGTAGCTGAACTTCTAGTAGAAGGATGAGAACAGGAGAATCAAGAAGAGACATTAGGTAAGAATCGAAAAAATTATTCTAAAAATTGATTGATTGAACCAAAACTTGTGTGCATATCTGTATTGTGTATATTAATTTAGTTGTGTAAATAGTTGATGTGGATGACAAATATTGTAGCAAGCTTGACCTTTATTGTTCTTATTGTGTTTCTGGTATTTTTGCTACTATATGTTTACGTTTTGTTTTGATACAACATATATTTAACAGGTTCAAATGAAAAGCTACATGTTTACTTGAATGTCAACAGGAAAAGCAAATACTTAACATGTACATTTGACAAGTTAACATATTCAGTTGCATGTTATCATGTTATAAAGAAAACTAACATGTAACAGTGAAAATTAACATATTCTGTTGAAAGTTAACATATTCAGCTGATAGTTAGCGTGCAGAGATGAAATATAACATGTTCATAAGAAAGTTAACATATGCAAATGAAAGTTAACATATACAGCTGATAGTTAACATGTACACATGAACATTAGCATATACACCTGAAAGTTAACATATACACCTGAAAGTTAACATATACATATGAGAGTTAACATGCTCACGTGAAAGTTAATATGTTCAGGTTAAAGTCAAGACTTTTAGCTTAAATTTAATATATTCAGCTGAAAGTTAACATCTTCACTTTCAAGCCTAAAGAATTTGAAAGTCAACGTGTACAATTGAAAGCCAACATGTTCATCTCAAAGTTCACATTGTCAAATAAAAGTTAACATGTTTAGCTGAAAGTTATCCAGTTGAAAGTAGTTTTAGCACCATGATATTTTATAGGAAATACAAACAGTATACCCCATCTAAACAAGTACATCACACAAAACTTTTTACATTCTTACAACCGATATTGCTTGAGTACACAATAGCATTTTCGTAGCAACATATTATTATTATTGTAGCACCATATTATTATTATTTTTACATTTGAAAGTTAACATATTCAGGTAAGAGTTATCGTCTTCAAATAAAAGTTAACACGTTCATGTTAAAGTCAACATGTTAGAATGAAAGTTAACATATATAGCAGAAAGTTAACATGTTCATATGAGAGTTAACGTGTTCAATTGAAAGTTAACATGTTCACGTTGACGTTAACATGTTCAGTTAAAAGTTAACATATACAGCAGAAGGTTAACATGTTCAGTTGAGAGTTAACGTTTTCAAATGTAAGTTAACATATTCATATTAAATTTTTCAGCATGTTTGTCTGAAAGTTAACATATACATCTAAAAGTTAGCATGTACATCTTGTAGTTAACTTTTTTAATCAAAAATTAATATGTTCAGCTAAAAGTTGACATCTTCACTTAAAAGTTAGCTAAAGAATCTGAAGTCAACGTGTACAGTTGAAAGCCAATATTTTCTTTTGAAAGTTAACATAGTCAAATGAAATATTAGCTCAAAGTTATTCAATTAAAAGTTTTTATAGTACCAAGATATTTAACAGGAAGTAAAAACAGTATACCTCAGCTAAACAAGTATATTAAAAAAAATTCTTACATTTTTACAACTGATATTGCTTGAATACATAATATGATTAGTCTTACAGCTTCACTGATTACAAAAGTCTTCCACAATATACTATAAAATTCTGGACGACCTATATTTCTCTAACAAAAGTATTGATATAAGAAGCAGTTCACCTTAATCACCAATTCATTGCAAGTTGATCGATTGTGACCCTCAGCTGTGCATCGAGAACATTTCGCTGAAATCATAAAGCTTACATCACACAATGCATAATTTTAAAAATAGTTTATTAATTACTTATATTTCAGTAGGAACTTTCTGATTTTTCAGAAGCAGAACCCTCTATATTAGCAACAACTTACATGTGAATCTGCGTACAACCAGTATTTCAATTGTGCTCCAATATGCACTTCAAATTATCTTCATTATCAACTGAAAAACTCAGGTTCGGGTGTCTCTCAAATTTTTTCAGAAGTAATTTCTGAGGGCAATTGCTTCATAGTTGATTATGATCACTGATTTAGATATTATAAGGTGGGTGCGTGCGTGCGTGCATGTTAGTAGGATAAGTGCATGGTAATTAACCTGATCAATCTTGTCTATACTATCTTCATCAAGATGAATGCCAAATCACATGGTAATAAGTATACAGAAGATGGCAAACCGAGCATTCTTGAGCACCCAAACCGCACCCTCACTGGACTCTGCCTCGGCCCGAATCCAATCAATGAACCAGTCCATACTAGTCTCCCTAGCAGGCCTAAACTCCTTGAGCCTAGCAGAGCTCAACATGCCCGAAACCATGTTGCATTGCAGTGATTGCCACTCTGGCCCATAAA